GAGAGAGAGAGAGAGCAAAACAGTGCACAACATCTATGGTGGGTCTCAATCTCTCCCCATCACCATCTGAAATGTTATTGAATGGTTGTGATGACATCATCCTGACTTCCATTGTTCATTGAATAATGGTATACTTTAGCTTTACTGGAACTCTATTTGAAATATTAAGAACTTAGAGAACCTGTGCCCCTGTTGTCCTGATTTCTTACAATCTGAGATTCCCTGTTTCAGAGGCAAGCAAGATTGGAAGAGGAGGAAAAGAACCGCGTTGACACAAGAAAGCGGAAATTTTTCAATGAGTTACTTAATGCAGCACGTGAGTTTCAATTGCAAGCACAAGCTGCTCTGAAACGTCGAAAACAGAGGAATGATGGAGTCCAGGTTATGAATATTTTGCAATTATTGTTTGTGGAAATCACTTGTGTACAAAAATGACGGAATTTTATTTGTCAATCACACATGCTCAGTTTTCTTCAATTGCATCGATTCTGATTGGTACAAGCCTTTTGTTGTATACTGAATTGTTTACAATTGGCGATTTTCTCTCTAGGCATGGCATGCAAGGCAAAGGCAACGCACCACAAGAGCTGAAAAACTGAGATTTCAAGTCCTGAAAGCTGACGATCAAGAAGCATACATGAAGATGGTCGAAGAGAGCAAAAATGAACGTCTAACAATGCTGCTTGGGAAGACCAATGAGCTTCTTGTTCGACTTGGGGCTGCTGTTCAAAGACAAAAGGATGCTGAACATGCGGATGACATTGAAACTTTGAAGGACTCGGAGGCTGATGACCCATTGGAATCTTCTGTCTCTAAGAATGGAACCCCTGGAGATATGGATGCAGAGGATGATGACAACACACTTGATGATGATTCAGAACACCAAGTCAAGTCAAATGATTTGCTTGAAGGCCAGCGCCAGTACAATTCTGCTGTCCACTCAATTCAGGAGAAGGTACTTAACTGTTACCACATTCGAGATTTAGTATGCCAAAATTCTAGTTCAATTTTTATATATATTTTACAAGCATGGGTTTGAAGCATACACAGGTCTATTTTTAGATATTGTATTATGAAAGTTTTATGTGAACAGGTGTGTCTTCTTATTCTTATGAAAAGAAAAGAAGAAAAAAAATAAAGAAGAACAAGAAAGATTTATCTTTTTATATGATCACCACCATAAGACGTTCTTAATAAGTTTTCTTGAAGTATATATTTGGGAATTATCTTCTGAAGAAGGATCAATGTCTCCAAAGAGAAGTCGAATTGTCGAAGTTCGAATAGTGTGACGAGCTTTTAGTAGTTGCCATTGTGGAAGACCAATGAAGTTACTTGTACCTTAACCTTTCTTGTTGTTGGTATCTTTGGCTTTCTCGTATTTGATGTTATGATTCTATTGTTTATGATTTTATCCTTTTCACAGATTCATTCAGCCTCACGTTGTTACGATTCTGTTAAAATGTATCATTTATTAGCCTTCTTGGTTTAAGTTGATGTTTCATGTCCATTTCCCTTTTGCATGTAGAGAACTGGAGAGTAGTTTAATGGAAAAAAGAAAAAAAGGGTGGGCCTTTATTTGAATCTTGTTTTCTTTCAGTCCTTTGTGATAGTAGTGATGCAGGTTGCCCAGGAGTACATATGTTTTGTGTTATCTATTTTGATGTATAATTTTTTGAGAAGTGTCCAACTCATGAATTTTCTTCCCTTGTTTACAATCTTACTTCATAGATTGTGCTGGTTTGCATAGTAGAATGAAGTTACTAATTGCAATATCATGTGCTGCTTAGGTGACAGAACAACCTTCAACGCTTCAAGGTGGAGAACTGAGGTTTTACCAATTGGAAGGTCTTCAATGGATGCTTTCTTTGTTCAACAACAATCTAAATGGTATTTTAGCTGATGAAATGGGACTGGGGAAGACAATTCAAACAATAGCTTTGATTGCGTATTTGATGGAGAACAAGGGTGTTACTGGGCCCCACTTGATTGTTGCTCCCAAAGCCGTCCTGCCTAATTGGGTTAATGAATTCTCCACCTGGGCTCCTGGGTATGTATAATAGATGAAGCATTTTCATTGCATTTTATGTTTTATTATGCCACAACCTAATCTGATCTGTCTGCTCCATATCCTTAACGAATAATCTGATGAACAAACTATTAAAAGGCCCTATTGTAGAACTTGCTAAAGATCTGTTTTGATTCCAATATTTTAGTTCAGTAGTAAATTGCTCCTTGTATCGAGCTTGGTTGAAAGCTATATGCATGTCATAGGACTGATCTTGAACTAGTGATGAGTAGAGAAGTAGTTGCATACTTGCATTGGACTTCCATGTTGCTAGTGAATGTTGCAAGGGATAGCATAGGAGAACACTTCTGACCACCTAGTAAGCTCAAAGTTATCCTGTTATCCTCAATGGAGTCATGCCCTCATGTATAGCGCATCTGATCTTGTTTGGGGATTTTCCTATCATGTGAGCGCTTGCCGATTTTGCAGAGAAACAACACAATCTCGCGTGAAGGACAAACCTGGTTTGAGCTTCTGCTCAGTCTTGGAATCCTAGGGGACCCAAAAAGTCAGCAAGACCTAGTCCTCAATATTCCCAAAGGTAGGGGTGGCAACGGGCCGAACCTGGAAAAACTTTATGGGACTTGGACCCGACTTGATCCAATTGGACCTTACCCAAAAAAATAAAATAGTTAAATATATTTATATATTAAGTTTAAGATATATATATATTATTTAAATATTATAACTAAAAATACATAGTTATATACTTATATTTATTTAAATATTATTATAAATATTATATATTAAATATTTAGGGACGGATCCGGCCCTTGGACCCGAATAGTGTTCGGGTCCAAGATATGGACCCTGACCCAAATCCCCAGGTCTAATTTTGGATCCATAACCGGACCTGGGTTGGGTCCAGTCATTGGGTCCCAAGTTAGGTCCGGGTCCATTGCCACCCGTACCCAAAGGTAAGACCCCTACCATAGGCTTTAGTAAATTCCTATTTATTTATTTCACATGATTCTCATGTCATGATGATGCGGGAAAATTGATAGAACCAGTAAAATCAGTAAGAAAACAAGTTAAAAAACAAGCCTAACCAGGAAAAACCCTAGGGCTTCTTCACGCCCAAGCAAGGGTTCAAAAGCCTAGCACTTCCCTCTTTTTCTTTTTTTTCTTAAAATAAAGTCACATAAATGCCTCTAAAACCCCCCAAGCTCCATTTTTATATCCTTTAATATTCAAAGGACATTATTTGTCTATATAAATAAGTAATCGATCCTTGTGTTCTAACTTAAGCACAAAAGTTGACAATGCTCTTTATCTAACTTAAAATGACTAGAACAGTCCCAACTTAAATTTAACTTGGAAATAAACACCCTAATTTTAAATGGACTTCCTAGAAAGTTCCTAACTGGTCTGGCAAATAAAAGCAATTAAAAATAACTGAAATAACTCTAAAATAGTTAGCAAATTATGTGCGATTATTGCGAGAAAATTTCTAAGCAATTATTGCTCTTCTTGGTAGCCCTCTCAAGGTTTACATCCTCCAAGTATGTGCGAGAATTAGGAGGAATCTTCTGCTCTCAAAGAAGATGCTCATTACTTAGACCGCTTGATACACTTTGGCGCATCATGACATGTGAAAAACTATAACTTCGACCACAGCCAGGTCTATATTATTGGAGCATGACCAGCACTATAATTTTAACCATTGGTGATGTTATACATCATTCTCTCATTTTTTTTTCTTTTGTCAGGTTCACTACAGTAGGCTGCATTTGGAGTTCCATATCCCCAAGTAATACCTGTCTACATCAACATTGGCTTATCTGTCTGCCATAGCATTCACCTTCCTAGGAACATCTTGGAACATGATTTACATCTTTAGTACCGAACTTTATCAATAGGTCATCTAACTGTTAATTTTACCCCCTTAAAGTTTAGTCATGACTCATGAGATTTTGCGCCCATCGTATCCTGTGCATCCTGACCCCTCGTAACGTTTAGCCATAAGATAATGTTACCATTTTATCCTGTGCACGCTGTTATAAATAGAAATAGTTGCATCTGCTGCTGTTCATTATTTGTTTCTGCACCATGGCGCAAAGGTATTTAAGAGTTGTTTCTTGATATTCAATAAGTATGGGTACTATCGTAATCAATTAAATATAATTACCCAAAAAAAAATCAATTATATATCAACAAAATAATGTGAATTCGTCAATTTTCCTGGCTTCTAACATCATTATATTCTACCATGCTTCTGCTTTTGGGAAAAATGAATGTGTTTTACATGGTTCTATGGAGAATGTAGATGATAATTTCCTTGCAAAATATTGTAGTTATAACTATTTTCACTGAGAAATAGGATTTTCAGCTTATGTGATTTTCCTCGCATTTTAATTTTTTTTTTAGTTTCTCACACTTCCTCCTTGTGAATCAGTATCGTTGCTGTCCTATACGATGGGCGCTCGGAGGAAAGGAAGGTGATGCGCGAAGATTATTCTGGGGAGGGAAAATTTAATGTTATGATCACACATTACGATCTTATAATGCGTGACAAAGCGTATCTGAAAAAAATTCACTGGCATTACATGATTGTTGATGAAGGGCACCGCTTGAAGAACCACGAGTGTGCTCTTGCACGTACATTCACTGGGTATGTTAAATATTTTAAATTTGGGTTCCACTTATTGGTAGCACGTTTGTGTTGGTATAGAAGTTTATCTTATTCAGCTGTTCTTTCATTCAAAAAACAAAAAAAGTTCATCTTATTCAGCAGATATAAGTATGAAGGAATTTAGCACTTGGAAATTATTGGAGCTTTAGATTGGCCTTAGTTTCAAGGTGAAGTATACCATAATCCAATTGACATTGGTAATGGTACTCTAAGCCTACATCCTCCATCCTCGGTCCTTTTCCCGGATAGATGGTTGGAGATAACTGCACTTGGATTGACAAGGATATATTTCATGATATAGTCAATGTCCAACCATAAGTGGAAACATATGGTATTTGTAGACTTGGAGTATCATATAGAATACTCCATTGGACTATGATGTACTTGGCTGAATAAATGGAAATTTGATATATTTAACAGCACGGATTTGATATGGGATGCTATTTATTTCATGTGCAGCTATCGGATTCGACGTAGACTTCTTTTAACTGGTACTCCAATACAAAACAGCTTGCAAGAGTTGTGGTCCCTTCTCAATTTTCTGCTTCCGAGCATTTTCAATTCGGTGCAGAATTTTGAGGAATGGTTTAATGCACCATTCGCAGACCGCTGTGACATTTCTCTCACAGATGAAGAAGAACTATTGATCATTCGTCGGTTACATCATGTAGGTTCTCCCTCCCTCTCTTTCTCTCTCTCTATACAGAGTTACACCTGTCTACATAATGGTCTCTGTCCTAAATATAACACAATACAAATGAAGACCCATATATCTTTCCTCAAAACTCAAGTTCTAAATTTGAATATCATGCATACAACCACAATAAAATAAATAGAAACATACTCAAACAGCTTTAACTATTGTGATTAGCTAGTTTTGAGTTTTGGCAATTTTTTCTGATTTTTATACTAAATTTAAAAACTCCCCATTTTCTGAACTCTGGAATAATTGACAAGAAAAACGTGATTATTCTTTATACTATATTTTCTCTACAGAACCTTTATGATTTATTGGTTTCCTCAGGTCATAAGGCCATTTATACTGAGACGGAAGAAGGATGAAGTGGAGAAGTTCTTGCCCGTAAAAACACAAGTCATACTGAAATGTGACATGTCGGCTTGGCAGAAAGTTTACTATCAACAGGTCACCGATGTTGGGAGGGTTGGACTGGATTCTGGTGTGTGGATTTTCTTATCCTCCTTTTTGCACACCCACATGACTCGAATGTTGGCCGTTCAAAAAACTTTTTTTTTCAATAAGGAACTATTTTTTATGTTTTTGTAGTTATTATATCAAAATAATTATTTGAACACTTTATTTTTGTGTTTCAATGCTTCTAATCAGCATTCTTAAACTCGGCCTCACCTTATGGGCGAGGCGAGTTTTGGCCGAGTTGGTTGTACACCATTTTTTTTTAGTTTAATTATATTAAAACCTTCAACCTAAATCAGATATGTGACAATGTCTTTTTGGTTGTTACTTACATGTAAAGTCAAACCTGTCAGGGTTCCAATCCCATTGCTAGCACCGTTTTTACATTGTACTTTTAAAATGTCCTCCTTTTTGGAGTTTCAAAAATATTAGCCTCCATGAGAGTGGATCCCACGACCTCTTTTTAAGAGATCAATTTATAGCGGAAACAATAACCAACACGCCCATATGCGGCTTAACGATAATAAATGGCACTTTTACTATACATAACTTAATTTTATCTTCATTTTCTTAAAAACAAAAAAAGAGCTGGACTGGGGGCGAGTAAATCGCCTTGGCTAGGGCCCAAGTACCTTGGCCGAGTCGATTTTTTGAACTATGCTTCTAATATTTATTTATTACCTTTTATAGTTTTATGAAAAATTAAAAAAGTATTTCTGTGACTTTCGAATTTAAATTCATGATTTTTTTCCTTAATAGGTTTTTACTATTTTTTTATTTTCCTATTGCAAATTTTGTTTCATAGTTGAGAAATTTATATCATATTAACTCAAGGTAAATAGGTAACAAGGTTTTTTTCTTTTTTCAAAATTTTAAGAACTTAGAAACATGCTTCAATTGTAGTTAGTGACTAATTTTTTTTATTTTTTCCTTAGAAATAATTTAGTATTTAAATTTTTTTTATGACAAATTAATTTATTGGCACATAATAATGTATATTTCATTTATTGTATTTATTTCTATGAATTATTCTATTAGAAGAGATTGTATAAAGTCTCATGCAACACACATGCTGCTTAGTAAAGAAAATGTGAATCTTACTCCTTGATCTCTCACCCGTGGAATCATAGTTATTCATGACTCAATTGGACTGGACTGGACCAAAGGTATGACCAGTCAAACTGCCGACCGATGTCTTGGCTAGTCTAGTGCAGAGTAAGAATCGGATTTGATAAAACCCGGTCACAACTAGTGTTTCGACTGTTTTAGCCAATTTGATCTGTCTGTTTCAAATGGTTTGACTTTCCAAACAAAGTAGACAATTTTTTTCTAATATATCACATATTTCTAAACCATTATTCATATTTTTTCTTGATATTTTAAAAGTCTAGTCAAACCATGTTTTAACTAGACCAGGCCCTTTAATGGTTCAGTGATCGTTCTAATCCTTATAAAATTCCAAGGAATAAAAGTTATTCCATAAAAATGCCTACATTTTTTTATGGATGGACTTCCATATTCACCATGGGAAAAGGAATTTGTTTTTAAACTCCAATCCTCTTCCTAAAGACGGTAGGATTTCCTTATTCTCATGCTTACCAGTTACCATAAAAGAAGAAAAAAATTGTTAAGGCAAGCCTTTTTCTTCATGCATGAGTACTACAAAAGAAGGAACAAAATTCCTAAGTTTTAATGCAATCTTCTTAAAATAGCAACTTACAATCAATGCCATTAACTGTTTTATATCGATAATGTATTTTTCTAAGCAAGTTGGTGATTTGAATTAATCCCCTTGTTATTGGGGTAATTAATTATATGGCATTCGATAATGTATTTTTCTAAGCAAGTTGGTGATTTGAATTAATCCCCTTGTTATTGGGGGAAAAAATTAATTATATGGCATTCGATAATGTATTTTTCTAAGCAAGTTGGTGATTTGAATTAATCCCCCTGTTATTGGGGAAAAAATTGTCAAGGTAATCCTTCTTCTTCATGCATGAGTACTACAAAAGAAGGAGCAAATTTCAAAATTTTAATGCAATCTTCTTCAACAAGCAAATTACAATAATCTCCAGGGTTTTTAGAGCATAGTAATCAAGACTGGATTGGACAACTGGTCAGACTGTCGCCTGTGGCTTGGTCAATCTGGTCAAAAGAAAAAATCATGTTTGGTAAAATACAATTCAAAACTAGTGCTTAACCAATTCTGGCCAGCCCAACGAGTCAGTTTCAGCATGTTTGACCGTACTAATAAAGTTGAGGAATTTTTTTCTTATATATTTCGTATTTTAAACTATTATTTATATGTTTATTTATATTGTTAACATTCAGTCTAACGGTTCAACCTATGGTTGGACCGGTTTTGACTAGACCAGACCCCTCTCAGGTTCGATGAGTGGTCTAATCATGACAACGTTGGTTTATAGTAAGACATTGGTCTTTCGAAACACCAATATCTTAACTTAACACCCTTGAGATATTTTTGAGAAAATATTTGATTGTCTTAAAATAAGTAGTTACATCCAAAAGATTGAGCTGTATGCAAAAATGGTTATCGAAGTACCTCTCAAATCCTCTGATGTGCGATTAAAATAGGCCTTCTGGGGCCCGTACAAGTAATTTTAGTGGGTGTCAGAGTACCCCTTGAAATCTACTAAGCATGGATATCGAAATTAGGCCATAGAGGGCGCATACAGGGATTATATTTATTAAATTTGTTAAATTGTATTTTCTAGAAACCGTATTTATTTTTATATTATTTTATTATGAGTGATATAGTGAGGTTGTACTTGTAAGTTTGTGTAATAAGAAGTTGTGAAACTATTAGGTGGTTAGTAGTTATTGTTGTAGGTTAGTAGTTATAGTTGTACGTGGGTAGTTATAGTAGGAAATATAGTTGTAAAAACCTCTATTTAAAAGAGAGGTTTGTGGTGGGAAAATTGGATCACATGTATTAAGGTTACTCTTAGGCATCAAGTTTGTAATGCTTTTGTGTACCCCTGGGTCGCATGTGTTAAGGTTAATCTTGTGTGTTGATATCGTAATGCCTTTGTGTACCCCATTTTTCATCTTGAAGGAAAGATAAGTTTTTCTTTCACTTCATCTTGGTTCTTCTTCTTCTTTCTATTTGCTTGTGAGTTTTGGGCTAGTGTGACATTGTTACACTAATTGAGAAGCGGATTCTTCCGGTGTTGTGGAATCCGTCTTTCTCTACATGGTATTGCTATCAGATCTATTCCCATGTTCCGATCTTTCCATTTTATGTACCCATTTCTTGGGGGAAGTCTCCCAACTATATTTGAAAATGGATTGGTTATCCATAAAGATAAAGAAAGCTTTCTTTTTGTTCCGCTTCTTGCTCTCAAAATTAAGAAAGACTTGTTGGAAATTGCCGGTTGAGTTGGTCCAACCAAGAAAGGCATGAGAGTTCCGGGGCTCCAGTTCAAGACCACAAGGATGGTGGTGATGTTCTCGTGACTCCCTTGGTGAAGAAGATTAATTTTTTCTTAAGATGAATTCAAGTGGAATGATGAATGGTTTTAGTATTAAGTTGCTCAACCAATCAAACTACAAGATATGGACGTCATGTATGGACGTCATGTATGGAGTCTTACCTTTTTGGGAAGTTGTCGGTGGAAATGATAAGGATGCTCCTACACCGGAAAATACTGATGCATTCAAAAACTGGAGGGTAACAAATGCAAACGCTGAGTCCATCTTGAAGAGATCTCTTTCTCAGAATCTATTTGATCAGATTGTGAACTGCAAATCGGTTTGTGATATTTGGATTACTCTTGATGGGTTATTCAATAAGAAAGATGTGGCTCGATTGCAATTGTTGGAGAATGAGTTGGCTACCTCAACTCAAGGTGATCTTTCATCCCCCTATTCTTTTTGAAGATCAAGAATCTTTGTTCAGAGATTTCTCTTCTTGATCCGGAAGAACCCATTTCGGAGGCATGAATGAAGCAACACATCATTCGTGGTCTAAAGAGGGAGTATAGATCCCTATGTCACTTCTATTCAGGGGTGGGCTGGGCAGCCATCCTTAGTAGAGTTTGAGAATCTTCTCACTTCACAAGAATCTTTGGCCTGTCAAATGGCCGGATTTTCGATTTCGGGAAATGTTGGAGATGATCACGTATGCATGGTCTCCTTTCTAGAAAATCACTTTAAGAGGGAGTGTTTAATTTGTTAAAGTGTATTTTCTAGAAACCATATTAGTTTTTATGTTATTTTATTATGAGTGATGTAGTGAGGTTGTACTTGTAAGTTTCTATAATAAGAAGTTGTGAAACCGCTAGGTGGTTAGTAGCCATTGTTGTAGGTTAGTAGTTATAGTTGTAAGTAGGTAGTTATTGTAGGAAATATGGTTGTAAAAACCTCTATTTAAAAGAGAGGTTTGTGGTGGGAAAATTGGGTCACATGTATTAAGGTTAATCTTGTGTGTTGAGATTGTAATGCCTTTGTGTATATACCCCATTTTTCATGTTTGAATGAAAGATAAGTTTTTCTTCCACTTCATCTTGGTTCTTCTTCTTCTTTTTATTTGCTTGTGAGTCTTGGGCTAGTGTGACATTGTCACACTAATTGAGAAGCGGATTGTTCCGGTGTTGTGGAATCTGTCTTTCTTTACAATATTTAAAGACTAAAATCAAAGGGATCACTCAAGGAGGTCCAAGCAAAATCTCATAGGCTCTGTATGGGAAGAACATGAGTGGAAACAGGTTGTTGTCTCGGGGCAGTAGGAGGAATGAGGGGGATAAGGGCGATAGGAACTGATGGAAATCGAGGTAAGCTGCTGGAAGGAGCCAACTCCAGTGCTCCATGCAGATGAGATTCTCTCAGTGGCATTCATCGTAGAGCTGTGATATAGGCTGAGGAGGGGTGTTCCCTGTGGACTGAAAGACGTGAGAGTCTCCAAGGGTAACAGAATGGGAGGCAAGAGAGGTAGAGGTCATAGAGCGTTTTGAGAGGGAAAACGAAGACAGAAAAGAGGTTCGGAGATGAAATAGAGAGGAGGTGTAAGAGGGAAGATAGGTGAGAAGGAAATGAAAGAGTAAGGAGATGAGAGAGAGAGAAGATGAACAAAAAATGGCTAGGCGTCATATAAAAAGAGAAAAGAGAGAGCTGGTCAGACAAGAAATTATGAGAAAATATGGATGACCAGAGGAAAATAGGAGAAGGGAGAGAATATGAAATTAAGAGAAATAGATAAGGGAAAGAGTAGTGGGTTTATGTGAAGTTCAGAAAGTAGGGGTGACTGGACAAAAACTTTCGGGGTGAGATGGCATGTATAAAAACAGGCAGAAATACAAAAAGAGGGGTGCGGCAGCATAGTCTCTCTGTAACACCTGTGAGATATTGGCTTTCAAAAATACCAATCATCTCCTAAGATATCTCACATGGTAACCTTGATTAGAGAGATATTGGTGTTTGAAAATGCCAATATCTCATAGGCTGTTACGGAGTGAGATATTGATATTTGAGAATAGACTAATATCTTAAATACGATATTCTGAAGTACTTAAGAAAATTGAAACTTTCCCTACAAAGACCTGTCTTTGAGGGCTTTCTCAGATTAGGACAAAAAATGTCAAATATCTAAATTTCCCTATCAACATTATAGCAGGAACTCATTTAATTGCTTGGCCCTGTTTGAGAATCTTGGTAGTCACATCCAAGGGATCTTTATTTACCTTTATGGGTTATCGTGGTAAGAATTGTCATAATCATGTGTAAGATTGTCCACTTTTTTGGGATAAAGAAAAAGTGGTTTTTAATAGTGTTGACATAAGGGTTTTTTAATCGCATATTGGTGATGAGCAGGGTTTCACAAGGTAGGTTGCGCCGCATTAGCCAGTGTAAGCAAGATTTTTCATTTGCTTTTGTTTTTCTTTTCTGTTTTTGGGGAATAAAGAGAAATTTACTTTTATAACCAAAAACTTCAGGGTTCAAACAGGGTGTTAGATTTCTGACTTACTCTAGGGCCTAGCGATAGCACATTAAATATTTGTGTTCTAGTGTCATTGTCACCATCATGTTCAAGATATGGCAAAAAACCGATGTGTCTAAGCAGGGCCTTCAATTGCTTGCTTATTCAAGATATGCTTAAGAGAATTGTTATGTTTGTTATACTTGTCTGTGGGCATACAATTACATAAATATACATTTAAACGAAAACTTATTCAATTGCTCAGGTTTCTGATTTTCTTTAGCTGGAAAAAAAACAGTTTATATGCCTTCTGTGTAGTGTCACTGTCATGTTCAACATATACTAAACAACATATCCCTCTTTATTCTGGTTGTACTTAACCAGTTGTTTACATGGATTCTAATGTCCCCAACCGCATATCTTTCAACGTTAACTTTAATATTTCCCTTTACACTCTGGTTTGCTGGTACAGTTTAATGGAATCATGCTCTCTCTCTCTCTCTCTCTCTCTCTCTCTCACACACACACACACACAATCACTCTCTCAGAACCTCTTCAAAAAAAAAACTAGAGGAAGAGAGGGACAATAGACCAAACCTAACTTTCTAAACAAAATTTTCATCCACTTCGCAGGTACAGGAAAGTCCAAGAGCCTCCAGAACCTGTCAATGCAACTCAGGAAATGCTGCAACCACCCTTACCTATTTGTTGCAGAGTATAACATGTACCGGAAAGAGGAGATTGTGAGGGCTTCCGGGAAATTCGAGCTTCTTGATCGCTTGCTCCCAAAGTTGCAGAAAACAGGGCATAGGGTGCTGCTCTTCTCTCAAATGACTCGACTCATGGATATCCTTGAAGTCTACTTAAGTTTACATGGATTCACTTACCTTAGATTAGATGGAGCGACAAAGACAGAAGATAGAGGAGCGATGCTCAAGAAGTTTAATGCACCCAACTCTCCCTATTTCATGTTTCTTCTGAGCACTCGAGCTGGAGGGCTTGGGCTCAATTTGCAAACAGCCGACACTGTTATTTTATTTGACAGTGATTGGAACCCACAAATGGATCAACAGGCAGAGGACCGTGCTCATAGAATAGGGCAGAAGAAGGAGGTGAGAGTGTTTGTTTTGGTAAGTGTTGGGTCCATTGAGGAGGAGATCTTGGAGCGAGCAAAACAGAAGATGGGTATTGATGCCAAGGTCATTCAGGCAGGGTTGTTTAATACGACATCCACAGGTGAGAATGGTCTCATGGAAATTGCTTGTGTTTTTTCTTTTCTTTTGGAGTAATTGCATTTTTGATGTCATTTTGAATTTGGAAACTTCAGGCCATTTACAATTTTGGATTTTCTCAGTGAGTTCTTAGGGAGTTTTGATATTTTCTCAAAGTTTATAAATTCATATTTTTCCCTTAGAAAAAAGAAAGGATAACTAATTCAATAAAGAGGAAACTATCACAATATTATATGGTTGTAGTCTCACAATATAACAAAAATAACATTTTTCCTTGAAAATCTAGTGATATATAGAAACAAGTTGGTGTTTGTCACTGTACCTAGCATGCACTTCCCCAGTTCTGCATTTGGTATCACATTTCATGTATTCAAAATAAAGGAAAATATAAAAAGAGAAGAAAGAAAAGGAATAGAATTCACTCTATTTCCTAAAATTTTAAATTCTTTAGATTAGTAAAGCCATATGTAGTTTTTATGAAGGGGTTGGGGAAATTCAGGATGCTATGTAATATATCTTTTAAGGAAAGAAAACTTATGTTTTCAAAAGACTGTCGCTCTGAAACATGTAGCCGCTGTTTTTGTACATCTCATGGCAAGGGGCCTTATACCCTTCTGGCGATAACCATGATAATGGACAAAGATTTAAGGCAAACTAGGTTTCAAAGAATATGGGCATTGCGGTGGAACTCATAAACATGCGGCCGCTGTTTTTGTACATCTCATGGCAAGGCACCTTATACCTTTCTGGTGATAACCATGATAATGGACAAAAATTGAAGGCAAACTGGTTTTCAAAGAAAATGGGCATTGCGGTGGAACTCAAAACGATGGTAAACCAGATTATGATATTTTTGTGTCTGTCTATACAGCTCAGGATAGGAAAGAGATGCTTCAAGAGATAATGCGAAGGGGCACCAACTCTCTAGGCACTGATGTTCCTAGTGAGAGAGAGATCAACCACCTAGCTGCTCGAACTGATGAGGAGTTTTGGCTCTTTGAAAAGATGGATGAAGAGAGAAGGCAGAGAGAGAATTACAGGTCAAGGTTAATGGAAGATCATGAAGTGCCTGAATGGGCCTTCTCAGTTGCCAAGGTAGAGAAAACTGAGGCCGAAGCTGAAAATAACCATGTTACGGGAAAGAGAAAACGTAAAGAGGTTGTTTATGTCGATTCTCTTAGTGATTTGCAGTGGATGAAGACAGTTGAAGGGGGAGCAGACCCCTCTCAATTTACTAAGAAAATCAAGAGAAACGACCAAACCCCAAATGGGTCTGTGCTACTAGAGAGAGAAAAGAATAGTCCCTCTATGGTTTTAAGCACTCCTGTGGTTTTAAGCACAGAAGAAGGGAATGCATCAGATTTAATGGCCGGAAGTGAAGATATAGTGAATGAGGTGGTCAATTCTGATTTTAAGATCCCGGAAAAGCTTAAATTTAATAAGGCCAAAACTGATGAAGATGATAGAGAAAATGGTGTTGTTAACAGTGGCTGGACTGGGGAGATTCTCACATGGAGCAGCCACAGGAGGAAGAGGTCAAGTCATGGCCACCCGATTGGTAATGGGAGAGGGGGTTGATGGGATCTTGAGTCTCTTTTACTGAGGAGATGGTGTCAATCCCATGGTGAGACATGTAAACAGTGAATCATTGGCGAAGCTTGCTCTGTAGGGATATCAAGTTTTTTACAGACAGAAGTGCTAGAGCTTCAGTGCATGGCAGAGTTTGTTAAGTAACAGAAGTCCGGGGGCCATTATGGTCACAGTCTGAATCTGAGAGAAAAAGAGTTGTTGGGAAATGTAAGTTGATTCATGGTGTTCTGTTCCTTCTCGAGGGAGGAAATCAGGTGTATACTAAATTTTTATGTCCTGTAAATATTCAGTTTTATGCGTTGGACTGTAGGCTCTGGATAACATGGTTTATCTTGTAAGTCAGTTACACAAGTTTCTCTCTTTCAAAACGACCTCAGTTCAGTCATGGTTTCACAATACCTGTGCTTTTTTTTTATTAGGAATTGAATAGCATCCACTCATGTGGACACTTGAAGAGTGCATAATAATTCGGATTGAATCTAACATCATCCAATAGCTGTAAATTAATTAATTAATTATTTATTTATAAATATATCTTTCTTTGAAATTTGTGGGTGTAGGTGTATTTTTATATAGTGTATTAAATAAAAATAATAAAAGATATTTTTGACAAAATATTAATTATAATATATTTTGATCAATATTTTTTATTTTTATTTGATGCACTTGTGAAAATGTACTTGTACCCTCAAATTTCAAATAAATATATTTTTAAATAAATTTCAAATAAATATATTTTTAAATAAAAATTTAAAACAAGATTAACTTGTAGGCAATGGATACGATCTTGTTCAATTTAAATGGTTTGAGTCTACATGATTTGGACTTAGTATTTACCCTTTTCCCTAATGAGCAATCATCCAATGCAAGGGTTGTATGATAGTATAATGCAACGACACTTCTAGAAAACTATGTTTGTGGTATTTATATGATTTCAAATTTTGCACATATACTCTCTTCATCTCAATAATCAATTCTTTTTTTAAAAAAAGTTCAATTCGAACCCTAGATATGGTCAAAATGAGTCCCCTCCAAAAACGAATCTAGACCATTTATTTTGTGAATTTCAAGATCTTAGCTTTTATAAACTTAAAATTATTTTTTTTCTGTTTTAACATTGTTCATCTAATGATAATAAAGCCATCCAAAAAAATTGGAAATGAAAAAAATCCTTCTAAAGCTTAGATCTAAGCATCTCACCAAAATGAACGGTTTATATTAATTGGGCTAAAAAAATGCTTTCTAGGTTGTGTTTTCAATTTTTTCTTTTTTCGTGATTGTTCATTAGAATGAAAATAGTGTATATTTCAAATTTTAGATAAAACAAACGACTATAAGATGGTTTTTTCTTGTACCCTCAAATTTCAAATAAATATATTTTTAAATAAAAATTTAAAACAAGATTAACTTGTAGACAATGGATATGGCCTTGTTCAATTTAAATGGGTTGAGTCTACATGATTTGAACTTAGTATTTACCTTTTTCCCTAATGAGCAATGATCTAACGCAAGGGTTGTATGATAGTATAATGCAACGACACTTCTAAAAAATTATGTTTGTGGTATTTATATGATCTCAAATTTTGCACATATACTCTCTTCATCTCAATAATCAATTCTTTTTAAAAAAATTCAATTCGAACCATAGATATGATCAAAATGAGTCCCTTCCAAAAACGAATCTAGACCATTTATTTTATGAGATTCAAGATCTTAGCTTTTATAAACTTAAAATCATTTTTTTTCTGTTTTAACATTGTTCATCTGATGATAATAAAGCCATCCAAAAAAATTAGAAACGAAAAAAATCCTTCTAAAGCTTAGATATAAGCATCTCACCAAAATGAACGGTCCATGTTAATTGGGCTAAAAAAATGCTTTCTAGGTTGTGTTTTCAATTTTTTCTTTTTTCGTGATTGTTCATTAGAATGAAAATAGTGTATATTTCAAAATTTAGATAAAACAAACTTCG